GAGAAGGTCTCAAAATTCCAGCCTAGGCAACAGGCTGGAATGCAGTGGTGCAATCTTGGCTCACTGCAACCTCCACTTCCCAGGTTCAAGCGATTCTCCTGCCTCACCCTCCCAAGTAGCTGGGATTACAGGCGCCTGCCACCACGCTCAGCTAATTTTTGTATTTTAGTTGAGACAGGGTTTCACCATGTTTGCCAGGCTGGTCTTGAACTCTTGTCCTCAAATAATCCATCCACCTCAGCCTCCCAAAATGCTGGGATTATAGGCATAAGCCACCATGCCCAGCCTCTACTATTTATTTTGATATTGTAAATGAAGTATATTGTGTGCAAATGACGCAAAGTGGGACGCTAGGAGACAATGGAACCATGAAGAAACGAATGCATACCTTATAAGAGAAAGCAAGTAGGTTTGACCCCAGCCTGACCCTGCCTTAGAGGAAAATCACACAACTGTGTACGTTATAAAGTGGCTCCAATCTAATGTTCTGATCTCATTGTCTATCACTGCATTTCCTACATCCTGTATTCCTCCGAGTCCTTGATTTCACATGGCCTGGGTTGAAATCCTGGCTCTATCATTTACTAGCTGTGTGGCCTCAGGCAAGGAACCTTGCCTGTTGATACCTCAGTTTCCTCAGCTGTAAAATCATTACAGTACCATTCTTATTAAACAATCAATTGTAGCTCTTTTTATGTTTACCTTCTATAAATAAATTCACAGTGAGCAAAATGTCTAATAAACCAACCTCATATCAGTTTATTCCATAGCCATCAAGAAATTCAACATTTCATCAGAAGGCTGTTCAAATGTCCATAAACCGTCACAAAGAAGCTCTATTTCATGACAGCAGAACTTGTGACAGTTAAAAATGAGGCAGAGATTTCAAAGCCTCAAAATTTTGTTTTTTGTTACCTCATATTACATATAAATATGTTGGTGAGTTCCCATGATTCTCCTTATTACCTCATATAGTTTTTTTAAAATACGTAATATATTGGTTATATGATTAATTGATTTAATATTTTCTTTGGGATCACACCCGTGAAAAGTTAGTCATCACGTCCAGTGTAACATTGTTTCTGTGAGAAAACCAAATGACTTAAATCATTTTGTCACAAGGTCAGAGCACAGGTGCAGAAAATGGACATTAGGAAGCCAGCAGACTCCATTGAGGTTGGGGTTAAAGAAAGGCCAGTGGAGAGGAGACACAACCAACTAAGCAGCAGTTAGAAAAGTTCCTCAGTTTAGCATGGGATTGAAACCAAATAAACTGTTTCAATTGTCTCCATATATTCTTGCAGAAAGAATATATATAGTTTGATAGAGAACAAATCCATTTTTTTAAAGAATGTGCTGCTCTTAAATCCGAGATGATAAAAGTAATGGTCTGTCCTTGTTTATACATACGTTTATGATTATTGCATAGTAACCCATGTAAAAGTCAGTAGGAAATAACTAAACATTAAAAAATCCAGAAGAGAAACTCAATCTTGCGATTTTTACTGTGACCTCCACAACGTGGGGGAAGCTTTTCAGGTGTCACTCAGCATGGAAGTTATTATCTTTCTGCAAAAAGCCAGATGATCTGCAGAACCCCTCCCAGTGCCCCAAATAGGAGAGAGACCATTCCCCGGTAGGAGGCAGCGGCTCCAGGCATTTTACCAAGACTCTATTGGAGGTGCCTGAGCGTCCTTAACCACCAGTCTTATATAAACCTGGAGCAGTAAATTAGGCAGAGCAGCTGTTAGAGCTATAAAAATCCAGGAGATGAAAGTTTTGCTTAAAATCCAAGCTCTGAGCAATTGCCATGAGAGACACTGAGGAGTCTCTGCAGTTAGACTAAAACAGGAAGTGACCATTTTGATTTGGATTATTATGGGACAAGGAATAGCAAGAGATATGGAAAGGGTCTATAGACAGATAAAGTGGAGAATGAACAGGAAGTGGATTGGGGCATTTCTCAAAGCGACACTACACTGAGAGCTTTACTAGTTCCCTTGTGAGGAGGGCCCTGGGTTAATGCCACCACTCTTGTATAGTCTTTGTAATTAGGAGTATGTTTGAATGCATGGAGTGTATGTGTATGTATTGGCTCAAGTGTCAATTCATGCACCACGTCTGATTTTTTAGAAGTAGCTGCCTGAAGCCCAGGGTCAATAAGGAATCAAAGTCTGAGTCTACACTCCAAAAATGATACTGTGAGCTGGGCACGGTGGCTCACACCTGTAATCCCAGGACACTGGGAGGCCGAGGCAAGAGGATCACTTGAGCTCAGGAGTTTGAGACCAGCCTGGGCAACATAAACCTTGTCTCTACTAAAAAGAAAAAATGTAATTATCTGGGTGTGGTGGCATGTGCCTGTAGTCTCAGCTACTCAGAAGGCTGAGGTAGGAGGACTGTGTGAGCCCAGGAGATGGAGGCTGCAGTGAGGGGGAGCATGCCACTGTTCTCCAGCTTGGGTGACGCAGTGAGACCTTGTCTCAAAAAAAAAAAAAGATTTTGATCTGCCTTGGATGGAAAGAGAGAGGTATGCCTTAGATGCAGAGGGGGAGATGAGTAGACCCAGTGACAAAACCTAGATCTTAACTGTTAAGGAAATTATAGATGCTTCAATTTCAATGCTGGTATGTGTGGTCATTCTCAGTGAGTCTTTTTCCCCCCTATTATAAAGCTCTAAGTCCAAGGAGCTTTAAGGTATTGTTCAAGATTGTTATCTGAGACAGCTAGACGCTTGAAAACAATTACTATTAAAATACCGGGGCTAAGAAAGTACACAGATGACAAGCAACATCCCTTATAGTATATTCCAAGCAGTTTCTGAGCGTGCCACAGCTGGGGAAGAAAATCACTGTGTGGCTCACAATCTCAGAGACAAAGAGGACCCCATTATCCAGCAGGGCAGTGATTAAAAGCAATCCATGAAATACTAACTAAAGATACAGAATAAATACATTCCTGGAAGGCTAACTCGTGGCTATTATCTCTTTTGGATTCCCAGCTTGCTTTGAAGACCAAGGAATGCTTGATTGCAGTTCATTTGAGCAGAAAAATGGGTTCTTAAGTTAAAGATAAAGAAGGAAGAGAGACTATACACACTCAAGATGGTCTGACAGATTGAGGGCTGTGTCTGAGAGCAGGGCATCATCACCCAAGGAGAAACACCAAGACAACAAAATTTCTGGACTTTATTCAAACCAGCTGCCTTGCTTTGGGGCTGGACTCTTCTTGCTCGTGGCTAGTTTGATATTTAATCAAATTTTGGATTTTCATTTTTATTGCCTAGTGGAATAGGACACAGTTTAAGAACCTAAGCATTCATTACACTCGGCTTGTCACACACTCAGAATCTGGTCTCCTTTGGAATATACTGTAAGAGACATTGCTTATCATCAGTGCATTTTCTTGGCCCTGGCATTTAAATATATTACATTAAATATTATACTAAATTTAATGAATTACATGAAATACAACCACAACAGTACTAATAGCTAAAATCTGGATGTCAGCCTGGTGCCAGGATCGCGCCCAGTGCATTCGCTGGGTTCTCATATTTAGTCCTCACAACGTAACAATATGAAGCACATATAGGGCTTGATACATGCTAGTTACTGCTTCTAGTGCTTTCCTAATATTAATTTATACACTGTTTACAACAGCCCATTATCTGAGCAAAAACAATGTAAAGGCCTGCCTAGAAAAAATATTCTAGAACTAAGATTTCATAATGAAGACACTGACGCACAGAGGCAAATGAACTTAACCAAGGCCACACACAGCTAGTAGGTGGCAGAACTAGGATAGAAATTTAGATGATCCTGTGAAGTGGGCCTCTGAATACTGCCATGTAGAAGAGGCACAAACAAAGATGCAGAGAGGTGAACTGATTTGCCCAAGGTCACAGAGCTAGATCTAAATCAGAGTGTAACCTCAAAGACTGTGCTCCCATCCACCCTCCTGAACTGCCACAGTTTGGGCCAGAAAAAGGTTTTTCTGGCCAGGTGTGGTGGCTCACGCCTATAACCCCAGCACTTTGGGAGGCCGACGCAGATGGATCACCTGAGATCAGGAGTTCGAAACCAGCCTGGCCAACATGGCAAAAACCCATCTCTACTAAAAATACAAAAATTAGCCGAGTGTAATGGCATGTGCCTTTAGTCCCAGCTACTTGGGAGGCTGAGGCAGGAGAATCGTTTGAACCCGGGAGGCGGGGGTTACAGTGAGTCAAGATCGTGCCACTGCACTCCAGCCTGGGCGACAGAGTGAGACCCTGTCTCAAAAAAAAAAAATTAAAAAATAATAAATGGTTTTTCCTTTTGTTAACTTTTACCAGATGAAACTTAAGAATTTGAGGAAATACAGTTATTGCATGATTGATACATTCAATTTTCAGACAATGCACAGGCCTGCCTGGAAAAAAATATCCAGATTCCCAGATTTTACTTCTAAAACCACTCGTGCACTCTTCTGTTTCAGAGGAGACACCATGATCGCATGCCTATGTCTACATAACCAAAAGGAAATAAAACAAGGTTTCTAAAACCCTCTGACAACATACCCTGATTTATTAATACTGGATACGAAGGCATTATCAGTACAGTGAATCTTAAAGATCTGAGATGCACGTGTTAGGTTTGTGGATTATGCCCAGCACAGGCTTCTTTCTCTGCACCACCCACGCATGAAGCAGTGCTAGGATAGGGGAAGAGTGTGTGCCAGTGCCTCAGCCTGAATGTGAATCAGAATGCAGGCCAAAGCCAAACACAAACGCTTTTGCATTATCCATGGCTTCGTTTTCCTCATACCCTTCCCCTGGTGTATTAAACGGGCTCCAGGAGTGGAGCACATGCATTTATTCACACATGCCTTTCTGCAAAACTCAAACCTCTTTATGTCTCAATGAGAAATCAAGCACCCGACATTTCCTTTAGAAGCAAATTCATAAAGAATTCAATTTAGAAAACAGCACACTATGAAAAGCATAAATTTAAGAGCAATACCTTGATATGGAAGCCACTCTCCAGTCTTGATTTGTTGATAAAATTATACTGTGGTACTCCCCAACCAATTTCACCAACGTACTCATGTTTATATTTTGCTGGCAAGCTTCTATTTGAGGCAGGCCTCCATAAATATCTGAGATCTCCAGTTTTTTCTAACGCCGGATGCTGTTCTCCTACATAGCAGGTGTGCTGATGAATTTTGGGTAAATAATCCTTTATGTAGTCTGGACCTTTAAAAGACAAAAAGTACTTAAAATTTCTCCACACTGTATTCTAAGATACTTTTGTTAATGTAACCATTGAAATACTAATAGCCAATAATTATATGGCACTATGTTCTAGGTTCTATTAAAAGCCTTTTAGACATGTTAATTCTTATTAATACTTATTTATAATTAATAATTCCTATTAATGCTTATTAGCAACCAAATGAGACTGGTAGAATTTTTTTTCTCCAGTTTATGTATGGGGAAAATGAAAGATTGGTTACTTGTCCAGAATTATAGCTAACAAGGTCTTTGTACCCAGACAGGCTGATGCAAAGGTTGGGCTCTTAATTGACTCATTAAACTGCTTTGTATATAATTAACTTAACATAGACATGGGCTGGATGTGGTGGTTTATGCCTGTAATCCCAGCACTTTGGGAGGCCAAGGTGGGTGGATCGCTTGAACTCAGGAATCTGAGACCAGCCTGGATAACTAGTGAGACCCTGTCTCTACAAAAAATAAAAATTAGCCATGCATGGTGGCACACACCTGTGGTCCCAGCTATTTGAGAGATGGAGGTGAGAGGATTGCTTAAGCCCAGGAGGTGGAGGCTGCAGTGAGCTATGACTGTGCCACTGCACTTCAGCTTGGGCAATAGAGCAAGACCACCTCAAAAAAAAAAAAAAAAGACATGATATATTCTCAAATTTCTCACATGCCATATTTGCAGGATGTAGGCCTTCAAATATTGAGGTGTTTTATCTAGGTAGATAAAAATCTGAAATGAGTATTAGAATACTCCCCAAATGTATTAGCAAAAAATTGAAAAATGGAGAAAATTGTTAGATGAGGGTAAGCGTATAACATTACCAAAGGCAGAAGTATTTGCATTTTAAAACAATGAACAAAAAAATAATCAATGAATTATAGAAATAGGTGAAAAAAGCAGAAATAAGAGAAGGTCTGGGAAAAGATTAAATTTTTTTACTATGATATTTTAAGTTCTGGGGTACATGTGCAGAACGTGCAGATTTGTTACATAGGTATACACGTGCCATGGTGGTTTGCTGCACTCATCAGCCCATCATCTACATTAAGTATTTATCCTAATGCTATCCCTCCCCTAGCCCCCCACCCCCTGACAGGCCCCCGTGTGTGATATTCCCCTCCCTGTGCCCATATGTTCTCACTGTTCAACTCCCACTTATGAGGGAGGACATGAGGTGTTTGGTTTTCTGTTCCTCAGTCACTTTGCTGAGAATGACGGTTTCCAGCTTCATTCATGTCCCTCCAAAGGACATGAACTCATTCTTTTTCATGGCTGCATAGTTATTCCATGGTATATATGTGCCACAATTTCTTTATCCAGTCTAACATTGATGGACATTTGGGTTGGTTCCAAGTCTTCGCTACTGTGAATAGTGCTGCAGTAAACATATGTGTGCTTGACACATATGTTTGTCTTTGACAAACCTTACAAAACTAATGGGGAAAGGATTCCCTACTTAATAAATTGTGTTGGGAAAACTGGCTAGCCATATGCAGAAAACTGAAATTGAACCCCTTCCTTACCCCTTATACAAAAATTAACTCAAGATGGACTAAAGACTTAAATGTAAGACCCAAAACCATAAAACCCCTAGAAGAAAACCTAGGCAATACCATTCAGGACATAGGCATGGGCAAAGATTTCATGACTAAAACACCAAAAGCAATGGCAACGAAAGCCAAAATTGATAAATGGGATCTAATTAAACTAAAGAGCTTCTGCACAGCAAAAGAAACTATCATCAGAGTGAACAGGCAACCTACAGAATGGGAGAAAATTATGTTTTCTATCCATCTGACAAAGGGCTAATATCCAGAATCTACAAAGAACTTAAATTTACAAGAAAAACACACCTTATCCAAAAGCGGGTGAAGGATATGAACAGGCACTTCTCCCAGACATTTATGCAGCCAACAAACATACGAAAAAAAGTTCGTTATCACTTGTCATTAGAGAAATGCAAATCAAAACCACAGTGAGATACCATCTCACCCCAGTTAGAATGGCAATCATTAAAAAGTCAGGAAACAACAGATGCTGGAGAGGATGTGGAGAAATAGGAATGCTTTTATACTGTTGACGGGAGTGTAAATTAGTTCAACTATTGTGGAAGACAGCGTGGTGATTCCTCAAGGATCTAGAACCAGAAATACCATTTGACTCAGCAATCCCATCACTGGGTATATACCCAAAGGATTATAAATCATTCTACTATAAAGACACATGCACACATATGTTTATTGTGGCACTGTTCACAATAGTGAAGAGTGAATAGTGAATGCTGACTTGGAACCAACCCAAATGCCCATCAGTGAAAGACTGGATAAATGTGCCACATATACACCATGGAATACTACCCAGCCATAAAAAAGATGAGGTCATGTTCTTTGCAGGGACATGGATGAAGCTGAAAATCATCATCCTCAGCAAACTAACACAAGAATAGAAAACCAAACACTGCATGTTCTCACTCATAAGTGGGAGTTGAACAATGAGAACACATGGACATAGGCAGGGGAACATCATACATTGGGTCCTGTTGTGGGGTGAGGGGCTAGGAGAGGGATAGCATTAGGAGAAATACATAATGTAGATGATGGGCTGATGGGTGCAGCAAACCACCATGGCACATGTAAACAAACCTGCATGTTCTGCACATGTACCCCAGAACTTAAAAGATAATAAAAACCTTTTGCAGCTAGCTCAAATAAATGCGTTTTTTAAAAAGAGATAGGGTCTTGCAATGTTGCCCAGGCTGAAGTGCAGTGGCTATTCACAGGTACAATAATAATGCTCTAAAGACTTGAACTCCTGGGCTCAAATGATTCTCCTGCCTCAACCTCCCAAGTAGCTGGGACTACGGTACATGCCACCAAGCCCTGCTAAAATTGGTAAAGTTAATCATGTGAATGTGAAAGACCTAAGACTTTCTGTAAGAAATGGTGCTTACTGACGAAAGATAAGACAATGAAGCTACTGGCCCAGGAAGAAGTTCAAAAGCCCCATAGCCAAAATGAGTGTAGACGTGTTTGGGCAGACTGGGGACAGAAAGAAGGAACTTCATTTCTTTTCCAAAAGTTAACCAAAGACCTTGGAGAGAGAATCTGTGTTGTGGTGACACTGCCTCAGTCCTTTCTGGCTCCTGTGGCTCCTTTCATCTTGCTCTTAAATCAGGGAGCTCAGTATTTGCAGAAAGTGCAAGGCAGGCAAAGGCTTTGATCCACTGCCCCTGATGCGTGGACCAGGTACTCTTGATAGGATGGTAAACGTGTAACAAGACTGTGCTCAGAAAACGAAGCTCAGCTTTCTGAGGAAACCGAAAATGTGAGGGTTTTTCCAGAAACAATTTTAGCAGGTGTTTTCACAGCTTCCTAATCACCCTCACTCCCCAAGAAAATTGAGTATTCACTGAGTGGCTAATTTCCCCTGATGAATACATCGTGGCTTCAGTTTTATTTGCTTCAGGTTTTCACTTAGATAGACCTACCTTGATAAAGCACAGAATCGTCAGAGCATGAAAACCTGTTTTCTCTCTCCATATGACAGGTGTTGAGGTCTCATTTGCAAAACTCTGTCATAAGGAACTTTTTGCAATCTCTTCTAAACAGTGAAATATGGAAGAACTGTGTTAGTCTTTTTGGAATTGCAGTGTATGTTTAAGCCAGTTTTTAAATTTTATTTTACTCTGAGGTGTACCCTTCAGAAGATACTTTTTTCCCTTTTCAGAAACAGGACCTTGCTTCACCCAGGCTGAAGTAAAGTGATGCAATACCAGCTCACTGCAGCCTTGACCACCTGGGCTCCAGGGATCCTCGACTCAGCCTCTCGAGTAGCTAGGACTACAGGTGCAGGCCATCACGTTTGGCTAATTATTATTATTTTTATTTGTAGACATGGAGTCTTATTGCCCAGGCTGGTCTCAAACTCCTGGCCTCAAGTGAACCTCCTGCCTTGGCCTTCCAAAGTGCTGAGATTACAGACATAAGCCACTGTGCCCAGACTCAGACCAGTGTTTTCCCAAATACGTCATCCAATGCTGCTCGCATGAGTGCACCATGAAGGTGGTGGTATGTGTGGGAGGGATCTCTACAGTCAAATGCACTTGGGAACACTGCTTGCTACATTTGCCTTGTAGATATTCACAGCATATGAAAGTATATTCAGAGTTCTGATAAGACTTATATGGTAAATAAACTATTTACAGTTACATAGCCCAGTGTTTCCCAAACTGATTTCAACATAGATGGTTTTTCCCTACTGGGTCACTTATATGCATCCTACTGTACATGTGAGAGTAGATATTTATCTGTCGTTAGTTCCTTAGTTGCTCTGTGGACTGTAGTAAGTTTTTGAAAAAAGCTATTACTTGCCAGCTGTCTTGGTTTGTGCTGCTATAACAAAATACCCGAGACTAAGTAACTTGTAAAGAACAGAAATTTGTTTTCATACAGTTATGAAGGCTGGGAGTCCAAGATCAAGGTGCTGGCAGGTCATGTGACGAAGGCTGCTGTCTGCTTCTAAGATGGTGCGTCGTTACTGCATCCTCTGGAGGGGAGGAACACCAGGTCCCGACAGGGCAGCGGGTGGAAGGACAAGCAAGCTGGAGGCTTCCTGAAGCCTTCTTTATAAAGGCTTTAATCTCATTCATGAGGGAGGAGCCCTCATGACCTAATCATCTCTTAAAGGCCCCACCTCTTACTCCTATCACATCGGCCGTTAAATTTCAACACCTGAATTTGGGGAGGTGTGCACACTGAAACCATAGCATGAGTTGAGTCAAAAGCACTTCGTTTTAGAAGGTGTGGTGAAAAGCGTACATGCTTCGCAATCCAAGTATGTGTGTTTTTGTGTGTGTGTGCGTGTCCCGTCAGTCCAACAAACTTCATCTTTTGCCAACACTTGAAGAAAGGGCTGGGCATGGTGTGTCAGGCACCATGGAAGGCTAAGAAGGGAGGATCACTGGAGTGTAGGA